AAAAAAAAAAAAAAAAAAAAAAAAAAAAAAAAAAAAAAAAACGGCAAAAGAAAACTACAGTATATAACATATAAATAAATAAAACATGTAACTTACAGGGGCATGGAGGGAGGATAACTAAAGGAGAAAAGTGAACAAGAAAACAAGAGGAATCAAGTGCAAAATGTTCCTATTTAGTAGGGGAGAAAAGTAGGAAAACATATTTTTTTAAGAATGAAAAGGAAGCGATGTTGCCAGTTTTTTTGTTAATGCCTAGCGTTTTGTTTTTTGTGTTTTGTGTAATGGTAAGAGGAGTGGGATGAATCTTGTGGTGCCCTAAATCAAAACATTCATTCGCAATATCTTTTCCCAATGAAAATGCCAACTAATTGCTACCAAGGTTCAAGTATCATACAACATATTCTATTAATAAGCTTTGAAATGGACATGCATTATGATATTCTTTGGATATGCAGAGGTATAGATACATTTGGGCGTATTGGGTGAATCGGTACTCCTTTTGGTGTTGGAACAAGTCGATACTTTGTTGTTTTATATGTTCTTCTTAGTGGCTTAGGCCATGTTTGGTTTACTCCTTTTGGGCGTATTAGGATATGTTCTTTTTAGTGGCTTAGGCCATGTTTGGTTTGCTGCTCTAGGTCTCATTTTTTTTTTTTATTTCTTACTCGTGAATGAATAACATTAGAGCATTTGGTTATAAAATTCTTTCCATTAGCCTTAATTCTTTATAGAATGAAAAATCAGCTCATAGCATAAAAATTGTGGTAGCATTTAGCATGAAAAATAATTATGCCCCATCTTGATCATTTTCATTCAAAGAAACTTTATGTTAGTGGTCATAAACCGCCGGTCTAGGTTTCCAAAACCATTCTATAAATGTTTATTGGTGGATTGCCATGGAAACTTGTATTGATGGCCAATTATGGGTAAACATTTTGGACCTAGGTCAGTGGTTTGTGGCTAACAAAGTTTTTGTTCTTTTTTGTTAAGAATGAAAATGAGCAACATGGACACTTGTTAGTTTGAAAAAAATTTATTTTCCAAGAAAAATGTGTTTGGTTCATAGTGGTATTTTTCCATTCTATTCATGATTACCCATTCTTGTCCATTTTAGAATTTCATCTAAGGTAAGAATGAAAAAGAATGAGAGTTGAACAAAACATGGCTTTAGATTTCCCGCTTGCTTTTTTTAATTTGGTGTAGTAAATGCTACTAGTCTATTTCTACATAAAACCATTTTCTTCATGTTTTCCTTTTTCTGTTTTCATCTACGAAAAATTAAATAAAATAAATTCAAAGGGGTAAATATTTTAGACAACTTCATTTCGGATGTTGTAACATTCATACATTCAATAGTTATTGCATTCAGAGGACAAAAAAGTGGAAAAACAATTTGGCTATAAAATATAATGCCATATCTAGCTCTTATTATTCTTTGTTAAAGATCAAAATTCAATTTTAACATATGCCATTTAAATCCAAGATAACCATGAAATAACCACTTAAAGACCAAAATTGCTTAATTATTTTTTATATTTAGCTTTTTAATTTTGTAAAGTGTAAACAACCAAAAAAATTAAGTTGATGGGTTTAACTTTTTATAAATTATTAAAGCAAACAAGTCGATTTTGTAAATAATATTTTTATTTCTTAAGCATCAATATGTTGTTATTTACTTGTTTATTATAAATTAAACCATAACTAATAATTTATAGAAATATATAATCTTAATTTAGAAAATATTTGATCCATCAAAATTTCTAAGATATATATCATATCATGTGAAAGTTATATATTTTCAGTTTTTAACTACTAAAATATTTATTCAGTTTTTATTATTTTTATTTCTCTAAATTATCAAAAAGTAGAAAAGCTGTTTTATTTTTGTCATAAGTTCTTGATGGATTAATGAAAGTTACGAAACTAGATCATTCATAGATTCATCTTTATAATTCTTTCTTACCATCATAAGTTCATATCCATTTAACATAACTAGTAAGTGAGCACATGGTTTGCACGTGATGATTTTTTATGATAACGATGATAGTAAATAATAGGGTTCAGAGGTGTAAAGTGGGTCGTGCTGGGCCATGGCGTTACATCAATTCGAGCTTGCTCGATCTGTTCCATTGCACCCTTATAACGCAATTGCATTCTTTGTTCCAATTGTTGTTTTTGTTTTTGTATTCCTGATTTATCCACTAGGTCAGTCTGGTTGGTTCTTTGCGCCTAGTTTTGGTGTAGCAGCTATATTTCGATTCATCCTCTTATTCTAAGGGTTTCATAATTGAACGTTGAACCCATTTCATATGATGGGAGTTGTCGGCACTAAAAAATGGGGTTCCATTGGACTAAGGGCAGGAAGGAAGAGCAAGTGGATCCTGATGAGGGCAGATTTGGCCCTCCAATGACATTATGACACCTGGCACCTCATGAGAACTAAGTGCTAACTAACTAGGCAGCTCGTCACTTCCAAGCAGTTCGCCACCATGCAGCGCTTGCAAGCAGTAGGCAGCTCGCCACCATGCAACACTTATAGGCACTAGGTAGCTCGCCATCATGTAGCTTGGCACCTTATAGAGCCCGGCACTCACAGGCAGCTCGCCACTAGGCAGCTCGTTGCCATGCAGCACTTACAGGCAGCTCGCCACAATGCTGCCTGGCACCTTACGGGCAGCTCGTTTCCTAGTCAAACCAACCACCGCATGACAACCCCGAGGAGCTCACCATCGTACCCCGCATTTTACGGGATTATGACTTGTAACGGCTATATTAGCTCACCCACTCCCCGATTCAGGTGGGAATGCGCAACCTCACTAGTTGGTGGCATTATCCCCACCTAACACGAAAACATGTCCCATCACAGCGGGAATCCAGGTATTGCTCCACCAAACCCACGAGGACTCCAGTATATAAAGACTTCACTCCCCAAAGGAGGAAATGAAGGGAGAAGAGAAAAGAGATGGTAACCCCTGTTCTCTACCTCTCTAACTCTCTGATATCATCTTCAAGCTCTCTACTATGTGCTAACTTAGCCATCGGAGTGTCCCCGCCGGGTAAGCCACCCCGTGTTCTCTGATTCAGCTCTTGTAGGCAACCAATTCCCGCCGTCTACAAAGATGAGCAGATCATCTGCTGCAGGGAGCAGTCGGGTCGCACTACGCCAGGGAGCTCCGCTTCAGCCCCTGAGTCATCGGCTACTTGGGAGCAGACGGGATGATGAGGTACTTAACCACAAAAAATGATACATGATTAGAAACGGTTACATCATTTGGCGCCGTCTATGGGAATCGCTACAAAAAGCTAAGTTCTCATTCTACAAAAGCTAAGTTCTCATCTTACAAAAAACTAAGTCCTCTTCTCACAGAAAATAAAACCTCATCAGTCATCTTCGCGAGCTGCCCTCTACAAAGATGAGCGCTTTGTGGCTTCTGCAGAAGTTGGCAGCCAACAGACTACATGGGCGCCCTTGCTGGTCGAGCCTTCCAAGGCTCCCATGCGAGCTGGCGACCTAAAATCAGTAGTGTTGCCCCCGTTGGTCGAGCTCCTAGCAGCTTCTTGTAGGAGTGGGTGACCGGCACCACGAGGTTGATGTAGTGCAATCATAGCTCTAAGGCGCCCACTCGGCGACCTGCGTGCGGCTTGGAACAGGCACCGACCTAGCAACCTGCCCTAGGCGCGACCTGGCGACCTGGCACATGCGTCGACCTGGCGAGTGATTTTTAGCCAGAAACAAGTAAGTAAGTTCTAGCTCTCAAATTTTGTGATTTTTAGCTCGTATTCTACTATGAGAGTACTGACTTAAGCACTAGAGCGACCTCACCGGGTTAGCCACCCCGGGTCCTCTGACATTTAGTTCCTTGCAGGTCTTTAAAGAGCAATGAATCTCATCAATCCAGCTCGGCACCTGGTCAGCCCGACACCTCACAGGCAGCTTGGCACCCGGTCAGCCCGGCACCTCACATGCAGTTCGGCACCTGGTCAGCTTGGCACCTCACAGGCAACTCAGCACCCGATCAGCCCGGCACCTCACAGGCAGCTCGGCACCCGGTCAGCCTGGCACCTCACAGGCAGCTCGGCACTTGGTCAGCCCGGCACCTCACAGGCAGCTCGGCACTTGGTCAGCCCGGCACCTCACAGGTAGCTCGACACTACATAAGACCTAGTCGCCTCTTCGGCATGGGCAAAATTCAGGAGTGTGAACTATGAGTCACTCCCAAAGCCTAAGGGCCACAATACTACTCAAGACCCAGTCACCTCTTCAGCATGGGCAAAGTTCAGGAGTGGACTATGAGTCGCTCCTAAAGCCTAAGGGCCACAACACTGCTCAAGACCCAGTCGCCTCTTCGACATAGGCAAAGTTCAGGAGTGGATTACGAGTCGCTTCCAAAGCCTAAGGGCCACAATACTGCATAAGACTCAGTCGCCTCTTCGACATGGGCAAAGTTCGGGAGTGGACTACGAGTCGCTCCCTAAGGGCCACAATACTGCATAAGAC